AAATTTAGCTACTTACATTCAAAGTAATTGAAATTACATATGTATGCCCTCTGTCACATTACGAACATTTTAAGTGTTCAGTAGTCATAGGTAGCAAGGGGCTGGCATGCTGAATGGTGAAAATATAGAGCCCTTTTGTCGTTGTACAAAGTTTTATTGCAGAGTGCTTGGACTGGAGCTGTCTTACACAAGACCAATATCTCTTTATTTAGAGTTCACTCAAGCTCTAAATAATCTCTCTTTAGGATTTTATCTGGCTCTAGATGTATCTGTGTATACCTACATTGTCCAACATAGTAGCTATTAGTCACCAGTGTCTGCTGAGCCCTGGAAAAAAGTATAAGGCACACACTAGATTTTAAAGTTTTTATATCAATAAAGAATGTAACAGACAACATTAATAATTTCACACTGATCATACATTGAAATATTTCTTTGAATATGTTATATTTAAAATGCGCTGTTGAAATTAATGGCCCATGATCTTTTATTTTTAAAAAAAAAGTTATTTAATGTTGCTACAAAAACATTTTCAATTATATCCAAGGCTTGCATAGTATGTCCTCTGGACAGTCTGTCATAGATCCCTTCATTCTTCTTTGAATAAAGAGTGAGTTGGGGGGGGGTATATGTATGTGAATGTAGGAGGCCAGAGGTAGCCACCAGATATCTTGCTCTAACATTTCCACCATAATTATGACAAGATTTCTCATTGAAACTAGAGGTTGCTAATTTGGCCAGACCAGCTAGCTAGCATGCTTCAGCCAACTCTGACTCCCCAATCCTGAGATTCCATGCATATGGCACCTTGCCTGGCTTTTTTTTTTTAACATAGATTCTGTAGAGACTCAAACTCAGGACCCCATGCTTATTCGGCAAGCACTTTACTGAGTGAGCCATCTCTTGTGGTCCCACTTGTGGGTACTTCCAGGGAAACTAACTGCAAGTAAACAAAATTTGAAATTCAATTCTTCTGTCACATTAGCCCCAGTTCTGTCACGCTGTAGCCATGTGTAGTTAATGGCTGCTGTATTGCAAGTCACAGAGGGAAAACATTGCCATTGTCACACAAAGTTCTATCAGGCAGTACCAACATAGATTGTCCATAGAGATGGTAAGAGGTATCACGGTGAATTGTGAAGGATGCAGCAGGTTTCCATGGCACCTAACCCTGCAGCAAATAATCCACTGTCTCCTGGGTGCCTGCCCCTGCTTAGCTTTGTTAGACCTGTTTGTGTACAACTTATCTCTTCATCCCTCTTCCTGCAAGGGCTTTAGTGTGTTTATCTCTGCTGTAGCACACCTCCTTGCTCGGCCCCTCCTATTTGTATGTGTAGTTAACATGGCACTTTGTGTGAGACAGCTCCTCGGGAAGCATTTGTTAGCCAGCTGACGTGGCAGTGTCAGTCAAGTGAGTGGATGATGTGACTGAAACAACAAGGAGGTCTGGGGGGCTGAGTAGACTTTGAGGGAGAAGGGGCTAGAGGGATGGGATGTGCAGGATCCTATGGAGAAAGGAAGAGAAGTGGCAGCAAGACAGAGAGGAAACCAGACAGACAGAAAGCTGTTGACCCAAAATCTTTTCAGTGTGACCCAAACCCTTGAGCCCACCCCATAAGCTCCCCGCAGACAGTGATGAGAGTCCTAAAAGAGCAATTCACAGGCTCGGGCACCAGCTACATAAGAAGCGCAGAAGAAACCCCAAATATTATTACATAATACATAAACATGAAAGAAAGACCTATAAGTGGGGAAATATGAAAATTAGAGGTCTGACGAGGAGGGAGAATGAAAAATGGCCTCTCCCTGGGCCAGCTGGTTTGAGTTACATTTTATGGGCAGCATGTGAATTCCGGCGCCCTTGTTGAATTTGCGGCAGACTCGCACATTAGTTTTAAGGCTCCCTCTCGAATAGGAACATCATAACGCTTTTTAATTGGGGCTGATAAAAAACGTAGCATTACTTGTAGGTTCCTGAGAGAAGTGAGTTGTGAAATTGGGTTTTCATTAAACCTAATGACGGAAAATTAAGCATAGTGCGTCTGGCGAAATGGGGTGTGATAAAAGGCATCACTTCTGCATTATCGAAGGTTAATAAGGGAATAGGTGAGGAAAGATACACTGGAAAAGGGAGTCCAACTAGTTGAATTAATAAACCTTGAAAATCCCTTGCTTCCAAGTCCTTGTGGCATCATTAGTGCTAGCATCGGCGTTATCACAAATGTTACAGCAATACAAGTTGTTAAATTTCAAATGCATTTATTTTCCATTCCACTGTTGGTTTTGCTGACACTAAGTTTACAGTCTGTCTAGCAATGTGTTTAGGGGGAAATATCCATATTGATAGCCTTTTCAGTTTGGAAATGTTTGGCGTCTCACAAAAATTTGCCAGGTGCCAACTCCTAGGAAGCCTGCCTCTGCCAGGCAGCTGGTCTCCCGTGCAGCCTGCGCTCTGAGTCCTTTAGAAAAGTTGGGGGTAGGGTATCTCTCTGTGGTGTCCACATGATGGTGTTTAGGTGGGAAATACAGGTTATGGGCTTTAAATTGATGTCACCTCCTTCTTCACTCCCATCATGCCACCGCGGGAAGGATGCTTCCAGTTCATGACAGCTGCGACACCTAAGGGAAAGATTCTGGGTCTTGAAAAGGCTGGACTCCTCTATAGCACCATCCACAGCCTCACACTGGTATTAAGAGTTCTGGTGGTCTCAGCCCTTCTGGGTCTGCCTCCGTCATCTGCCACAGCATTGTCCCATACTTTTTGTTTATGACTGCCTCTCAGCTCTTAAATGTGTTTTCATCTCTCAGGCTCTGATCTTTTTGCTTCAGATAGCTCTTACCTAATTTGCCCTCTAGACCATCAAGCTTTGAGTGTAGACTCTATTTCTTTCTAAGTTGCTCCTGTCTAAAAAATCCTTGGTACAGAGTTGGCTCTCATAAGTCAAACTCATGATTACAAGGGTATGATGAGGCAGGGACTCAACCTCAATATGTGCCAGGAAGTACATTCAATCAGTGCTAGTAAAGACGAATCAACCTATTACCAAAACATGGAAGACAAAAAGTAAGTATAATTCTCAATGCAACCAGGAAGGTTTTTTAGCATCTCACTTCATCCCTTCTTTCTCATGTATGAATTTATAACTGTCTGTTGGGTGATGGGGCTAATTCCCAAAGGCCAACTCTGTCTTGTCTCCTCATTGCATTGAAGCAAGAAATGCTGAAACCACAGGAGACAAAGCTCCTGATGAGGTGTGGCCCAGCCAGTATCTCAAGCTCAGGCTAATCAGATCCATAGCTTAGTCTCCCCTAGAGATGATAACAGGTGGGGGCAGGTGGGAGGATGGAAAGAGAAGAATCCCTGGCCCTGACTCATCCATGGCACAGATGAGCATGTGCAGGCAATCAAGACTCTCATTGTCCCAGAACTGAGGGGTTTCCGTGGATATTATTGTTAGAACACTAAAGCCAAAGAGGAGTTAGGTAAGTGTGAGCAGTTGGTCATCCTGCAGGCCAGACATGTCTCTCCAGTATCCTGTCTTGTGAGGAACTGATTTTGATGTTGTCACATAGAAGTGGAATGTGCTTTCCCAGAGAGCCTGTCTGATGGATTATTATGACAGGGAAGACAAACAAGCTGAGGGGGACATGGCTTTTAAAAAGACACGTTGCAGAAAAATCTCGAATATATACTAAGCCTCTCAGGGAATGAGCATGGCACAGGCTTCATGGATGTTTGCATGGGATCCTCAGTGTCTGAGAACATCTGGATATGCACTCAACTGCCACATCTGGCAGGTCTTATCTCTTGCATAGTACAAACAAAATGGCCCCAGGGCAGAAACTGTCAGAGCATTTGAGAGGCTGTGAACATGCCAAGCCTAGATGAGTCTGAGAAAGAGAAACTGTTTCCAGAGTGGCCAAACAACAGAAGGTATTTAAAGCTGTTCAATATATAGAGAGATTTGTATGAGGGAAAGGTATAGCCTTTTATATATAGAGAGAGGGTCTTATATGGTCAAGTCTGACTTCAAACTTAGTATTTAGTTGAGGGTAACTGAACTTCTGATCCTCTTGTTTCTCCATTTAGAAATCTAGGCTAACAAGCACATGCAAACCAAGTATTGTGTGGTGCTGGGTATCAAATTCAGGGCTTTGAGCACGCTAGGTGGACACTCCCCACTGAGGATTATCCACACTGCCATATCCAGGGGTGTGGTATAGAATGCACATGAGAGTCATGACTGGTGAGAGGAAAGGAAGACAGTTGAGAAATCCGAAAGTTGGGATCAGGAACTTTTCAGGGTCAGTGGTAGCAAGGGGGAGAATAGATAACAGGACAAAGGTGGCCTTTTTTACAGAGCCTATTGCTACAGGGAGAGGCTGTAGGGATCGAGTCCCTGCTGCCCACTGGGAGTCTAAGACTCGCTATACTTCCTTCCGATATACAAACCAAGGGCAACAAAATAGGAGAGAAATCCAATCATAGACATGGGGGCCCAGAAGCAGTCACATGGATCTTCTGGCCAGGCACCCAAGACTCTCCTCATCTGCAGACAAGCAACTGAGCCTACGTCATACATTACACTAGACCTACAGCTCCTAAACAAGAAGGTTCTCCCAAGACTTAGTCAGCCAGACTTCTTACTAGTTCTGGGATTGGCTGGTATTGAGCAAGGCACTCAACAAGTCAAGAAAAAGGACTGAGGACAGACACGGGATAGTCACTGAACTGTCACTTTGTCATCACACAATCCATAATGAACCCTTGAAATTGAAATGAACCAAGGATCGTGCACTGGTTTGTTATTTTACCATTTAAATCTGTGCACATGGCCAAGTCAGGAAGCAGTGTCTTTTGTCTGTCTATAATTTCCTGACCAGTGGAGTGTGCAGTTCGTTCCCTCTGCCCTCTTCAGGCCACGCTGAGGGTGGGGGTAGGGTACAAAGAACAAAGCTGCCCCAAATGAGTTTGTCCTGCTTCTTTTTCTTTGAAGCAGATGGCAGCCGTGGAGAGCTGTCCCAGCCCACCCTCACCATACAGACTCACCCCTACCGGACCTGTGACCCTGTAGAGATGAGCTACCCCCGGGACCAGTTCCAGCCTGCCATCCGGGTGGCAGACCTGCTCCAGCACATCACCCAGATGAAGCGAGGCCAGGGCTACGGGTTCAAGGAGGAATACGAGGTAAGAGACTAGCCCGTGAAGATTCCCCAATGGCTCATGGGTGGTGCATTTGGAGTGCTAAAGCCTTGCCTCTGACAGTGAGCAACAACAATGCCTGGGAGCATGGTGGAAATGCTCCACCAGGCCCACTTAATCAGAACTTATGTTTTAACTAGTACTGGGACATTAAATTTAAGAAATACATGCTCTAAATCCCTACGTTTTAGAGTCAATCCAGTCTTCACTCTGAAGGTAGAATGGCTCAAGCCCTCTTCCCACATGCTGTAGAGAAACTATTCCCTCTCCCCTGCCAATGCTGTCTGGCTTGCCTGCTTCTTCCTGCTCACCTCTTGCTCAGTGTTGATGCTTCTATGCTGTTCTCCACCAAAGCCATGCAGTGCGCTGACTGAGATGCTCTCTTTCCACCTCTCCCTCCCCCCTGCACTTGGCCACCCCTGTTCTCCCACAACCTCCCTCCCAACACACCTCTAGTCCAAAAGATATGAATACATGCCATAGTTATTTCAGGAACTCGGGGGGGTGACTGACAGCCATAGCAAAGTATAGCAAGTGCCTGCGTTCAACATTATTATCGTGTAGATTCCTAGCCATGCAATGTACCAGCAAGGTCCTTCAGGTTCTAGTTTCTCACAGGTTGCTCTCTCTTCTCCTGTGTCCTGAATCTTCTTTAGTGTCTCCAAACACTACCCCCAGCATCCAGGGAATGACTCGCACATTCCCTTTGCTCTTTTACACAAAACAATTTCTCTTCCTGCTGTTTTCGTCTAACTCCTTTTGGTTTTGAATCTTGCGTACCAGGGCTCACCTTTTCCAAATCAAAGGTACAAAGCAAAATCCATTCAGAAATTTCCCCAGACCAAAGAGCAGCTCACCCCTCCCCCACAAAAAGAAGTGGTAGTTTGTAGGCACTGTAGCCCCGCCTCCTAGTAGCCCCTACAGGAGTGCCTGGCCAAACCCCTGAGGGCATCAGGGCGTCAAGGGAGGTCAAAGATGATTCTGGACAATTCTTAAGGGACTGCACACACATGGAGAGCCTTGTCTCTGGCCACGCTAGCCTGCGGCCTCTGGGCATGCTCTGGCTTACGTTTGGGCTGGTGTTTATATGAATAAAGAAATCTTAGCCTTACGGATTACGGATCATCTTTGAGTGCACACAGCACGATATACTCAATAGTAGTTCTCTTAGTGCCAGTGGAGCCCAGCTGCAGCCATCTTCCTGTTTCCCTTTCCTTCCTGTCCTCCTTTCTTCCTTGCCCAGCATCTCTTCAGCATTTTCTGTGCAGCATGTGTTAAATGATACCCAGTGGGTACCACTCCTACATTCCCTGCTTCCTTCTTCCTCTCCCTCTCTCTTTTCTTATTTGTGTCACATGCAGCAATGACCCAGATATGTTCTATTCAGTTCCACTGTGTTCAGTGAAGGCTCCTGGTCTCACTCCAGCTCAGACTAAGTCCATCCCTCAGTCTGTAACCATAGCGCACACTTACAAGGTAGTATTTCTGAAGTCATGAGAGGATAGGAAATCATGCTGAACTTGGGCTACAGAGAGCTGGGTTCCAATGCAGTAAGCTGTGTATTCTTGGCACATAATTTTGCTATCTTGGTTTTTAAATTCTTCATTAGTTGAAGAGTGTATCTAAGTGGCTCCTAAGACCTATATGCTCCTAAAATTTTATGGGAATATAAAACAGTGGAGAGGGGTGTGTTTTACATACTTTGAGAACAAAACCATTCATGCCAATGGATGCAATCACCAGCTCAGGAGAACCAGCAGTTAATTTTAAATGTAGTCTAAGCAAAATACCATTTCTCTGTGTACTCAGTCTATTGCAAGAACCTCTTAGATTAAAAATAAAAGACATTGCTTCCTTTACAAAATAGTAAGGCAAAGATTGATAAAGAAAAATGGACTTGTTTATCCTTTACCCAAACCAGAAAGAGAAAGACTCTTTCTTCTTTGAGGCCTTTTCTGCAGCATTGTTGCCCTTTTATAGAAAAGATGAAACAGAAGCCAGGAGATATGCATGTGTCCATTTAAGATGCCAAAATTATGTGACACATCTTCCAAAGAGGCAAGCTTCTCCTCTATTTGGCACCAATGCTGATTCAGTCTTTCCCTTTCCCTGGCCTGGGATTCATTGGGGCCCATCATTTCAGAACTTTCATAGCAAACAGGAGGTACCAATCTTTCTTTCGAATATTTCCTCTCCTGCCAGGATAGTTACAAGACTAGCAATTTTGGAAGACTATTGGAACAAGAGTTACAGGTAATGCTCTCATCATCTCTGGGTCTTATTTCTAAATAGGATGAATGATCCCAAGCCTTGTGTGTGTGCTGATGCACATAGGTGCAGATAAGTTTGTTGAGCAAACACCTCAGCACAGGGGGTGTTGTTTGTAAAGGTGTGCCCAATATTATTGTAGTTTGATGAGCACTCAGTCATTAGAATTTCTCTTGAAGTTTCAAATAGCATCGAGAGGTATGTAGTTTATCAGAAAGGTACAAAGGGCCAAAGCCTAAAATACCTATTCTTTGAACTTTCAGTCTAAAAGTCAAGAACAGAAATACAAATGCAAGTGACCATTTTGGTACATTCCTCTCTAACGTATTTCTTCTAAAGCATTCATAACTGTATGATCAGTTATTTGTTCTTTGGTTTGGTGTTCTTTAATTCCTGTTTATACCTGTCAGCATCTCCCAAACTTTCTAACATGGAAATAAACTTAATTTACTTCAAAGAATACATGTTGTTACATCATTTGAGCCTCATCCAGAAATCCCACTAGTAAGGCCACCCCTACCCTCGTTAGTTCAAATTGTATTAATCAGTGTACCTTGCTTCTGGGTAATAGCATTGTATGATTAACCCGGAGTTAATTAGAAAGCATTATTAACTGAAACATGCTACTTTGTAGGATGTGGCTGTCCAGTTTCTTAGAAACATTGCTCTGTTTTTCTTTTATCATAAAGGTCCCTATGATTTCTAGGCTCTTCATCTTGAACATGAATTACCGATCTGCTTGAAGCCTCAGTGTAGACATAAAAACCTGAGCCTCCAGTTCTGCTGTCATGCAGGCTGCTGTGTGATGTCCTTGCCTGTCACCTCCCTATTCTGCTCTGCTTTTATTTTTTTCATGCCAGTGTGTGGAGTTGACAAGTTGACATCTAAGGGACCCTCAGCTTTAGGAAGCTGTGCCTTCTAAAATTCAACTTAGCTATACAGTCACTCCCAGGTTTGTTCAGTAAATATTTCCTGAGTAAATTCACTATTAGCAGGGTCTATTCTATGCATCTGGGATGCAGTAGTGAGTGAAACAAGCCCACACCCTCTTGAATCTTTATTATAATAGGGAAAATAGAAAATGAGCATAGGCTGAAAAATAAATAAATTACTATTTGCATGTTACAGACTATATCAACTAAGAGAAACAGAAAATGATTTGTTGCAATAATTGGTTCTATCAGTTAGGGAATTGAACAGAGAACAAGAGGCATGGTTGATCTCTTGTCTGTAGCATTAGGCTCCATGGCTAGGGGCTGTAATCATCTACAGCATCTTTATTCAGATGTCTAATAGCCAATGCAGACACCATCTGAGGTCTCAGTAGAAATTTTCCACTGCAATTCCTCTAGACAGCCTCCTGGGTGGCCTGGGATTCCTGGCAGAATGGTAATTTCCAAAACAGCTGGGCTTGTGTTTGTCTGGTTTTGTTTGATTGTTTGGGTTTTGTTTTTGTTTGTTTGTTTGTTTTGTCTCTGTGTAGCCTTGGCTGTCCTGGAAATTACTGTATACTGGGATGGCCTTGAACTCAGAGATCTGAGTTGGGATTAAAGGTGTGCACCACCACTGTCCAGTGTGGACTTTTTAATATGGTGGCTTAGAGCTCCAAAGGTGAGTCTCCTACCTGACAAGGTAAAAATTGCATAAGGATGGTGGCCTAGACTTTGATGTCACATTGCTTTGTATATGAGCAAAGAAAAGAACTCTCTCTTAGTGCAGAGGGGAATTAGACCATACTTCTTCGTAGGAGGACCACTTGCCAGATTCTATAGGAGGACATAAGATACTAATCTCAGGGTGATATGGTCTGCTAGAAAAAGAGAATAGAACAAGGAAAGGGATAGTATAATCCAGGACTACAATAGGCAAGTGGGTCCAATATTAATTAGGGTAAAAGGGTCATCCTTAAAATTTGGAGGAAGGGATTTCCATAACAAGGCATGTGCAAACAAAAAAGAAATCTGGTCAGTATATAGTGGATATGTACTAAGTAATCAGATTGGGAAACTAAGGAGGGCCCTGGTGCTTTGTTACATTAAAAACTAGTATAAGGAGTTTAGTTTTTGCTCTGAATAAACTGGAAACCTACTGCAGATTGTAGGGGAAGCTGTAGCCACGCCTTCTTAGGGGCTGGCTACAAGAGTACCTGAGGGCTTGTGAGGGCGTGGTCAGAGTGAGTAGGGGGACTGCATTTTCGGTTTCGGTCTCTCTTTGCTTCTTGCTGTACAGACTACCACCGGCTGACTGGTTCGCTCTGTAAGTAAGGCTTTTCCCTATTAAATACCCTTATATTTCTACCTGACTCCGTACTGGTAATTTCTTACTATAGCAGAGCTTTAAGAATTACAGGTATTAAGGGTCTGATTTTATGTTTAAAGACCCATTCTAGCTACTGTGTTGAGAATGGACCTGGGGAAGCAAGGCAATGCCAGTGATATGGTAACCCAGATGGGACAATAGTGACTCTAGCTAGGGTCAGCAGAGGAGTCATAAGAAATGATGGGGTTCTGGATTTGTCATAAAGATAGAGCCAACAACATTTCCTAATACATGGTATATAAGGAAAGCAAAGAATCCAGGATGACTCTGAAGTTCTTTGTTGCATCACTGGAAAGATGGAGTTGCCACCAACAGTGATGGGATGTCACAGAGCAGTCAGATCTGGAGCAGCTGGAAGTTCAATTGAACTGAGTTTGCAATGTCCATAAGAACAGTTG